GAGGGGGAGGGGGAGGGGGAGGGGGAGGGGGGGTGATGGTGATGGTGGTTAGTGGGCGCGCGTCATTACCTGGCCTCCTCCGACTCCAGCAGTTTCCTGTAGGCCGCGATCTCGAGGTCCAGGGCTACCCTGATGTCCATGAGGTCCTGATACTCTTGGAGCTGCTGGGCCATCTCATCGCGCATCCGGGCCAATTCGGCCTCGAGCGCGGCCAAGTTTTCCGTGTGACGGCCCCGCTCGATCTCCCGTAGGTTCTCCAGCTCCCTGAAAGTCAATGGACGATCCTCGTTAATTTTCTATGGCCAATCAGCGTCGACGCCTCGACGTCCCGATAAATAACTGGATGATAATGTTCGGCTGACCTGATACGGGCATTGAGGGCGTTGTTGGCTGTCTCGAGCTCGTTGATCCTCTGGTTAAGGCCCTCGATCCTCGTGCGCGTCTGCCTCAATTCTTCGACAGCGAGGGTCGCCGCGCCGCTGTTTCGCTGCGCATGCGACGTCAGATTCTTAATCTTATTTTCGTACAGCATCTCGATCTCCTCGCGATTGGCGCGCATTTGGGCCTCGTATTGATCGCGTAACTCCTGGAGCGACTGCTGGAGCTTGGCTTCGTACTGCTCCGCCAAACGTCCATCGATCTCCGAGATCTCGACCTGCTTCAGGCATAACGTGACGACAAAAGGACGTGACGTGACCATCAAGAGATATTTATAGTGGAGGTTGGGGGAGGGGGGAGGTTGGGGGTAGGGGAGGGGTGGTGTTGGATCATTGTCCGTTGGTATTTAACGGGGATGGAATTATTGGTGGTGGGTGGCTGCTCGTTAAAGTAAACGGGGTTAGTGAAGCAATGGAATTTACAATGGAGCCACCCGTACGACACACCCGATATAAGATAAAAAGAGTTCAAGCCGACCTGGCGCCTCGTCCGGGTCTCGGTGAGCTCCTGCTGGAAGACTTGATCCTTGAAGCTTATATCCTCTTTCAAGCTCTGTATATGGTTCTCGAGGTCGATGCGCTGGAGGGTCTCCTCCTCCAGGTGCTTGCGGGTGTCCTCGAGGAGCGCAGTGAGACGCTCTACCTCCTTCTCGAGCTCGCGTTCGCGCTCCGAGAGCTTCTTGCGCTCGGCCTGCGACTGGTTGAACTGCGACTGGAGTTCGTTGCAGCGTGACTCGTAAAGGATGAGATTGCGCTCGGCTATCTGCAGGTCCTTTGTCTTCTTGTCGAGCCTGCAACAAGTGCCAAAGCCAAGCGTGAGCGCGCCAATTTCCCTTCGACCTGCACCTGCACTCGCTCTCTCTCTCTCTCTCTCTCTCTCTCTCTCTGACGCAAGCGACCGACTCTTCAAACAGATCCCGAAATTTCGATGACTCTTGGCGCGATCAGGTGGTCGTGGTTTTTGCCAAAATCAAGTTTGCTAAAGAAAAATTAGGTCGCTGTTTAGGCAGTAGATGTTCGATTCTTGTATGTGTGTGTGTGGGGGGGGGGAGTCAGCACAAAATGCATTGATTTCCACAGTTTGATCATGGGGCTTTATCGATCCGCTTTGATTTCATAGGAATTGGCAATCGTTAGTGAAATGTGATAAAATCGTCAGCCTGGGTAGCGAAGATTGTACAAAGTGGATTATGCATTTAGTTATCGAAACATTCTTTTCAGCGTAATTTTCTTAATCCCGTCTCCTTGAACGCAATGCGTTTTTCGAGGCGCAAATTCATTTTACCCGCTCCTCTATTAAAATGATATAAAATATTCCCTTATTAGAAAGGGGTGGAAAGAAGAAGAAAAAAAAAAAAAAAAAAAAAAAAAAAAAAAAAACAAGCAAGAAAAAGAAAGATGATTTCAAACTGCTCAAAGAATAAGAATACAACGATTGTTGTGAAATAGTATTGTCAAACTTTAATCGTCGAGACATTAGGACAGCCGTAGCTAAATAACAATACGACGACGACGACGACGATACTTTCCCCCACTTAAACACTCTATTGCCTAGTCGATAAGAGCGATAAGAATAATAAATAAACACGCCGAGATTTTCTTTATAAACTCATCGCCAACGGGTCTTGCCGCCACGATAAAAACTCATATGTCTCGCGGCTTATTACAATGTAAAACAATAAAAGGCGAATAAGCGGATCGAATGCCAATAAGAGCGGGACAAAAGATTCCGAAAAACTTGTCGTCGTGCACAACACGTCGACCCTGATGGGCCAATAACCTCGAAGGGCATCGTGGATGCTCGAGGGCTGTCGTTCGCCTCTTGGCGGCTGGGCGCGAGAAACCCTCAAGTTCAAGGGCCAAAGCATCGATCGCTTCGTTGTTCGTCGTCGAGTTTAGGAGCGGGGGAGCGAGGGTGCGAGGGTGCGAGGGTGCGAGGGTGCGAAGGTGCGAGGGAGCGGACTCCTGGTCGTGGTACGACGTGGATACGAGTGAGGTGAGAGGACTCATGGGTTTTTCCTCCGACCTCTCGTCGCGCTCTCGCCCCGTAAAACAATGTATTTGGCGCGTAAGGAGGAGAGGGCTGGGATGCGCTGCTCAATGATTATTGCGATTGCGACTGTGACGATTGTGACGATCATCCGGTGCTTGCCTCTGGCGGGCTAATCATAGAAAATTGGTGAGTGAATGTTGCTTCGTTTTGACCTCTTGGCCGAGTGGGGAGGGGAACTTTGCTTTGCTTCGCTGTACTTTCGTTCTCGTGACAAATGATCCGCCGGGAGAGGACGATACGATGCCTTGAAATTTAGATTAATTTCTCACCACCACCACCACCACCACCACCACCACCACCACCACCACCACCACCACCACCACCACCACCACCACCACCACCACCACCACCACCACCACCACCACCACCACCACCACCACCACCACCACCACCACCACCACCACCACCACCACCACCACCACCACCACCACCACCACCACCATAAGAGCCACGCGCTTTTTTCGAATTAAGGATACTCGATCGTCGCATTGGCGCGAAACGAGGAAAGGCTGGGAGTGTTCGACCGATGTACACGTGGAGTGGTGCACTGGTAATGGTCTAGCGGACCGACCAAGGGGTAAATCACCGGAACATTTGACGCTTTAACGAAGAAAGAAGGAAGAGCACTTTGTCCTTGAGGAAGCTACGGAGCCGCGTTGAAGGTCGGGAGAGGGCAAAGGGGTGGGATAGGTAATAGTTGTTAAAAAGGCGATGTCGAAGAATCGGGGCTCTCCCGTGTTCGTTGCTACGTACATAATCCTTGGCCCACTGATCCATTAGGATCGCGGCACGGATTACGGGGAGAGAAGGTGGAGGAGGACGACACGAATAACGGACGGGTGGGTGGGCTGCTGTCTCACGTAAATCGAGGGTTCATGTATTTTTTATTATTATTTTTTGCAATAAACTTCTAGGCCGAGGCTGTGGCGGTGACATTAAATTCTTCAAGGACGACGACTATCTGGATAAATTACGGGACGAAATGGGCTGCTCGCGTGTCTGCATTTAAAAGCCAATGCCGTTGTATCATTGTTTATTGTACAAATGAGATGCATATCGATGCGATAGATGGCAATAAAATGTCAATTTATTTGTTAATCATTTAGTCGCTTTTGTATCATAATGGCGCAATTAATGCCCATCCATCAGGACATTTTAACCGTCTGATCTAAGGATAGAACGTAATAGGGAGCAGAGAGTCGAAACATTTGGTAAAGCGACGATGATAGCGCACACGACATTATAATGTTTTAACGTTTCAATGTTTTGCTTTAAACGAGATTTTGAAATTCATTGAGAAGCGAGGCGGGTCGATCCAGGTGGCAAAAATTTGTATGAGCGATCGAAGGATAATTTGCAAGAGACACCGAGCTGCAATTGTACTCAAACCTCTTTGACAGGAGGAAAATGCTCAAAGTGACTTTTCTCGCGCTCGTCCTTTATCCCATATCCCGCCTACACGAGTCTCGAGTTCGAACCTCGTTGGTCATCATCGGCGTCGTCGAAGCTTCTCATTATGAAAGTAAGAAGAGCCCCCCCCCCCCCAGTTACAATCCGAGAGCAACGAGCGAGCATCGCGGTTCGACTCCAGTGCGCATCTCGTCTCGAACGAAGCGCGTGACGACCTCGGCTAGATCGAACCGACGATGTAGTCTATTCCCGTATGTCACTTGGACACGCGTCCGTTTCTATTTTCGCTCGGGCTCTTCGGCTCCCGCTCCGACCCACATCGAGAATTATTTTATTTCACTCTCGCCTTGGCTGTTGCGTTGCATGTGTGCGGCCCAAGAAGTCTTTTCACCGGCTCACGGGAATAATGATGGCCCGATCGGGGTACCGATTTTGAATGCAAATTGGACGTTCGTCGTTCGTCTCGGACGTCTCGGACGTCGCGGACGTCGCGGACGTCACGGCCGAGCTCAGTAGGGTCGAAAATGTGAGAACGAAAATGATGTTTTGAGGCTAATTTAATGTTGGTAGGCAGGCAGGCGCACGAGTCTCGAGGATTTTTCAAATTCAACCACCACTACGCTATATTTACGATATTTACTTAATAATGCTCGGTCAATGGGCGACTTATTAAGATGAAAATTTTTAAAATGGCTGCAACCCCCCTCCCCCATATACGTATATGTAGAGTACGGTCGCTCTTAAAACTCTCTCTACTCTCTTTGTCATATTTTAATTTAAATATTTGTTCATCGACTCCCAAGTTCACTTATTTATATCGGATTTATTTTCAACGTACGACGGTGATTTTGTTTATATTACGAGGATAAGCCTCGATTATTATGTATTTTACAACGATTGCCGAGATTATCTATCTATATAAACACGAGATTGTTTTTTTTATCGACTAATTCTTCAAATCGAATAAATACGTTTCGCGAGAATATTCGACGTGCCGGTTATATTTTTTCGCATTTATTTGTACAATAAATCAATGCTTTTGCAAAGCAATCTAGAGTTTTACTATCATGTATTAATTATGCCATTTGGTAATTTTAATGAAAAAACTTAACGACGTTGAACGGGGAGAGGGAATGGGTGGCTAAATAATACAGCATATTAATAATAAATCAAAGGGAATAGAAATGAAGTGAGGCGAGACAAAATTGAAATTTTCAATTTCTCGACACAAATCGCTCGTGTGTAGTCTTGGTGTGTTGTCTAATCGATTCGACACATTTAAAACTCATCGACTCAATATTATGTCAATGTTTGAACAAAGTTCATTCGCATAATTCATAATCTTGCTATTTACTGTCGTATTAGCGTCGCGTATTGTGAAATGTATGTCGAATTTTCAAGGCGAAATGGATAAAGAAAAACAATAAACGATAAAATGAAAAAAAAAACAGTGGCTCGACAAGCCTCCAACATCAGACAGAAAACGAGCGGACACGAAACATTCTATCCTCCTTCTTGGATTTTCATTAATTTCCGCTTACGCAATCGCATACTATTTTCGCGCGTTACGATCCGCCACCTCGGCGTCTATCTGTCATGTATCATCGTTGCACAAATCATATTCGTTCCAAAGTGAAATCGTAGGAACTTTGGTGCAAAACTTTTGCGACCAAATCGACAGAATACAATGAGCATGCACGACCAACGCAATCGACCAAATTGTTCGGCTCTACTTGACAATTGAAATTCGAAACTCACGCTACGTGCACTTTTGATTTGAATGTCATATGCTCTCGCTCGCTCACACGCGCGCGCGCACACACACACACACAAAAAACAAGAGTACTACCACCGTGCTTTCGTATTCGATTCGCATGACATTATTTTTTAATGCAACGTACTAGGCTGACGAAACTTGCTTCTCCGTACCCCATGAACATCTGCACCGCAGAACATCTCAAAGTATTAAGCAACAATGTTCATATCCAAGTCCTTATTGTTAATCATAAGTTCCTCCACTAAATTCAATGAATGTGAAATAGTTGTGTCTAAAAAATCTTAAAGCAATATCATATGACTCACACAAATATTGTAAAACAACTCTTTTAAAATCCGTCTCTCATCTTCGCTATCGATAAAAAGTTTCAAAATGACATGGCTTTTAACAGGCAAATAGAAAATTTTGGCTTTTTATCCATAAATTCGCCCCTAATTTCTCGCACTCCGACTCCCTCTGGCTCGCAACGATAAATAGAAAAATTTCATTGGCATCGCGTAGAAGCAAAAAAAAAAAAAAAAAAAAATTGTTCGCCTCCTTGGAGTAACGAC